CCGACGCCCACTCAGAACCCTCGGGCCCAGGGAGACAGCACCGGCTACTGACGGCTTCCAGTGATGAGCACACTAACCTACCTTCAATTAGCTAAAAAGTAGCTGGAATCAATTTTCATTTCAAAGAACACATTTTTATAACAAATACCCACCCACTAATGCGAGACTCTTGGTGCTTTTTGTCATAAATATGCATGTGTTCATTTGTTTAATGCCATCATTATCATAAGTGTGCTTTTATAAATTTTAATTTCTGAATCTATTTGTGGTTTTTAATTTTCTAAGTCATTAGCATTTACACGTAAACTCCCACTGCACTCTTCGGTTAAAATATCTCCCATTAAAAAAATACTGAGAAAAAAAAAAGATAAAAATAAAAAAAATACTGAGAACAAACGCACGCCTCCTGTAAGAACAGGTCTGTCACCACAGGCAGGGCAGAGGGGCCACCCCAGCTCCAGGCTGGCACCATCGTGGACATGCCCAGAGCGCCCCCTTCTGACCAAAGCTGGAAGCACAGCTGTGACTCTGTAAGAAGGTTTCAGCCCTGTCTGTGGACCACAGGAGCCTGGCGGGAACCCTGGGGAAGGCAGAGAGTTTCTGGGAAGGACAGGGATCTGCTCATTTGCCTTCAGCACATCCCAAGGTTCAGCACCACTGGGCAGGGGTGTCTTAAACCTACCAAAGAAGCAACATATCTCCACTTGCAAAGCCTGTCTCCCTAAACAGAACGGACTCATTCTCTACTCCTGCTGTTTTGTCTCAGTCAGCCCTGAGGGTGCACTGGACCTGACTGAATTGGCCTCAGGAGTGCTTCCTGCAAACGGAGTACAGCAGCCCTAAGTTCTTTCAGGAAAAGGCAAGAGCTTTACATTCCCTCGGGAGCTAGACACTTCCACGGGGCAGTGGTGCCAGCCTGAGGGGACAGTCAGGTGCCAGCGGGTCCTCCCCGTGGCTCTGAGGCCCTGGTTTTGGAAGTGGACACCGTAGCATCAGTGTGATGAGTGGCATTTTTCTGGGCACTAAACTGGTGTTTGACTCCGCACACCCCACACCCGCAGCCTCTTCCTGCGACTCCGAGAACTGCATGCTGACAGCCACGGAAACACAACGGAACAACACGCAGGCTTTCAAAAGACAGCCTGGCATCCGTGACAGCATGCACAAGGCTAGAGGGCACTGGGAAGCAAAGACAGGGAGGTGTGGCCCTGCTCTGTGGGCGTCACCCACGCGGATGCAGAGGCCTATGGCAGGGTCGTGGTGGACGTGAGAGCCCCCTGCCACCCAGGTCACCACATTCCACCAGCACGGGACCCAGACAGGGCCCTGGGCACCAGCACTGTGCCCTCCCCAGGAGCCTAGAGAGCAGCCCTCCTCTCACCCTGGGCTGCGGTGGAGCAGAAATGGGCCCAGGTGGGAGCCCCAGGTCAGGCTTGTAGGACACAGAGCCACCAGGGCTCCTCACCTGCAGGACAAAGGACAGTGCCAAATTCACCAGCAGGCACTGCTGTCCTCCCAGGGCCACTCCACATGGGCAGAGGAGGGCTGCTGAGCGCATGGGAGGCGACAGAGGGCAGAGTGGAGATGTCCAGCGAGGCGAGGGGATGCAGAATGCACAGATCCGGCCCAGCCCGAGCGCAGCCTGTCTGACTTACAGGACTGGAGCCCAAAACAAAGGGCAGTGATGTTTCCCAATCCACTGAGTAAGATGGGCCTGGAAGTTCAGGCTGAGGGAGACGGAGCATGGACTCTCACTCAGACCTGATGCGGGGCCTCCTCAGGGTGTGGCATGCCCAGCAGGGGAGGGCATGACAGCGGGCGCCAGGAGGTGGGTTGCTGTCCTGCTCTGGGACCCGGTGGCCAGGCAGGCTGTGGAGATCACTGGGCGCCGGTCAGGGTGGAAGGAGCTGTGGCCCGCCCTCCTCCCCAGTCCTAGGCCGCTCTGAGCAGCGAGGGACGCCGGTCAGGAGGGTGGAGAGCACAGACTCCCCACGGCAGGATGCGGGGGGGACATGGCAGGTGTCCCCCCCACCCGCAGTGAGGAGCCCAGGATGCCCAGCCGCATGCCCGGGATGCGAGGGCAGAACAGGCGAGGTGTGCCGTGCAGAGCGGGAGCCGGCTCCAGAGGTCGGGCCAGGCAGGCCCCAGCCAGGGCCCCAACACCTGCCACCTTCTCCCTGCGTCCCGCTGTCTCTGCTGCCCATGCACAGGTCCCACACAGCAGCAGGAGGGCAAACCAGGACTCCCCAGAGCCCGCTGCTCGGCGGCCTGACATTCTCCACGGTCTCCCTGAGCAGTGAGTGCCCGAATGGCAACCCTGCCTCAGGAGGTGCCTCGCGCACAGGCACAGCAGGGCAAAGGACACCACCGCCCAAATGCCGCCCCCAGCCACGGGAAGCAGGGCCTCACAGAGGAGGATGCTCGGGGAGGGAGGGAAAGCGCATGGCGACCAGAGCTGTGCGGAGCGGGGTGGGAGGTGCCCAAAGAAGCAGCAGAGCCGAGTGGAATGTGGGTCACAGCCAGGTGTGAACCAGAGTAAGTGCGCCCACACGGCTGGACAGGGCCTAAATGGAGGAGGCCAGACAACTTCGAGAGCCCACATCCCAAGTGGAGCCCACAGCTCCCTCCCGGGAGGGGCTGGGCTGAGATTGGGGGGGGCAGATTAGGAGGAAGGAACGAGGCGGCCCCAGGGTGGACGCCGGCAGGCTCCGCCTCAGTGAGTGCCAAAGGCTGCCCTGACTGCACGCAGCGGAAGAGCGTCCACCCCCGGGCTGGAGAGCACCGCAGAGCTCACCTGGCCAGGCTCCTGCAATCGCGCATGTCACCGGCCGAGGAAGCAGGATGGGTAGCAGACCAGAAGACAGGGGACAGGGACCACTGAGCACAGCTGGGGTCCGGGCTGGGGCTCTGGGGCGATGGGAAGAGCACTCCTGCGAAACCAGTGACCCAACGCCGTCCAGAGATGCAGTGATGTCAGGCCCAGCACGGCCTCACTCTGACAAATGCGCCCCAGGGCAGGAGGTGTCCACAGGAAAGCAGCACTGGGCTTCTCACCCCTTTATCACCTTTTTAGCAGGGAAATGGTAGAGCCCTCTCCACAGTCTTTACAGTTTTCTCTATACCTAAGGTTATTAAGAAATACAAGGCTTAATTGTCTAGATGTTGTAAGTAAAAATGATGGGATAGTAAAAAGATCAGTAGATGCTAAAGGTGGAGGAAAAGACTTACCCCAAAGAAACTACTCTGCAGGATACGGCCGTTCAGTGGGGACACCTGCGTTATGCACCTGTACTAACCAGTGCCAGGACTTGGAGGGGTTTGAGCTGGTCCCCAAAGGGTCACCTGGTGGAAGCTTGGTTCCCAGTGTGCAGAGGACCATAACATTGATTATGCCCAAGGCAGGCAGTGAAGAGCGAACCCCACAGCTGGCTGGTTTATAGAAGTGAGTCTGACCAAAGCCTACGTGCCCAGGTCAGCATAACTCACACCCAAATTCCGTTCCCACAACTGAAACCTCCTGACTGGAAGGACAATGATCTAATTACAACCATGTATTTTGTCTATTCTGTTCCTGATTCAAGAATGCTTTGTCTTTTCCTTAATGAGCCTTGTTTACATTAATTTCCATAGAAACTGCACGTAGCTCACCTTCACCCCAGTTGATTGCCAATAAAAATCACAGCCTGGGACTGTCCAGGGCCTTTGTCGGTGCACAGGTATTGGTTGTCCTGGCACCCCGCTTTCTCTCTCTTAGTTGTGTCTCAGTGTATTTTTTCCTCAGGCCTGCGTCATGTACTGGGCGGGGGGGACTGGAACCCAACTGCTGGGGTCTCCAGCACCAGCATGGCAGTGGCAGGAGGCAGTGAGACCATGAAGAGGCGTGGCCTTGTGGAGGGTTTAGTTCACCGGAGGCGTGGCGTGCAGACACTGGGGGACCATGAAGCACCGGGTGGGGGGCCATCAACCGCACCAGATCCCCGCCCTGAGGGGATTTTAATTTGGGGAGGATGTATGAGCTGGGCCAGAGTTGCGGAGTGTTTCTGTGCCTTCTTCTTACTTTGCTGTGAACCTGAAACTGCTCCCCAGAAAGTCTATTTTTAAAAATATGTGATTTAATAAATTCACAGCCATTTCATTCTTCCCTGCAAACCACAAGTACTGAACAACAACGACCGCATAAACTGCAGACAGTGAACTCTGAGCACCCGGTAAAGATCAAGTGCGAAGCACCTGCCTGCGCCCACCCTGGCCAAGGATGCCTTTCCGGCCGTTGTCGCCCCCCGAAAGCCCAGCCAGCTGAGCCGCCCACGGCGGGAGGGGACCCGAGTGAAGAGCCTGCAGTCCCCACTGCGCTGTGGAGGCATCTGCTCCACTGCCCTTCCTCTCAGGGCTGTGCTGCCGTTCCAACATCATCACCTTAGCAAAACAGAGCACAGTATCACAAAAGCTGGGTGGGTCTTCAGGACACAGAGCAAAAACCATGTTCTGAACTATGGAAGCTCTGTCTGCAGTAACGGAACTATTAAACTAAAACATGAGGCGGGCTTTTTATGCCAGAGGAATTTCTGCCCTTTCCAACAAAGAAAAAAATTCAAAGAGAGGGCGTCCTTGTCCTGTGGGCTCTTACCTCCCCCGGAGGCCAGATGCAGGCAGCCAAGACTGCATTTTCCCTCCACTCTGCTGCAGGGATCTTTGCATGCGAGGGTCTCCTTCACGTAGAAAGCCTTTCCTAGTTAATGTGCACACTAACACAGAACAAAGCCAGGAATGTTCATTTTCCTGTCCCGAGGTCCACAGCCTGGTGGCACCAGGACTGAGCAATATTTCTCAGCCGCACACGGATGCGCCCTCCCTGGGACCTGTGCCATGCATCCAGGGCAGCTCTCAGCCCTGTCCCAGCCCACGGGCAGGCACTCCCCAAGGCTGGTTCTGGGGCTGTGAAGGTGCCAACTGAACAAGCCAGGAGAGGAGAGAGTGCTCGTACAGGAAACCACGGCAAGGAGTCTTTTAAAGCTTTATTGGCCTAAAGCAGAAGAAACAGCGTGACCAGGTAACACCGGCTCAACGGGCCAAACCACGGGGCAGCTGGACACGGCCGCACTACTTCCTGTCAGAAAGGTCTGCCCAGCCACCTCCCTCCACCCTGCATCCACACAAGCTGCTTCCCCGTGGAAACCAGCCATTCCTCCAGGCAGATGTAAACCACCAATCACAAGTGCAAAGCTCAGAAGCCGAGTGAGGTGCTATGTGCCCACGCGTGGCGCCCTCGAGTCCTGGTGCCCAGGGCACACAGTGCTCCGGCAGCTGGGCCGGCTTCCCTCTCCTACTCGGCGGAGGTGGAGGCCGGGATGAGCTTGGGCTTGGCCTGCTGGGGCGGCACGATGTCAGGGATCTTCTCCCCGTGCTTGTACACGCTGACGGTGACATCGATCTTCTCCCCGCCGTACTTGTTCCGCACGTGGATGCTGTACTTCCCCGAGTCCTCCGAGGTCACCCCCGTGATGGTCATGCTCACGTACTTGGCCTGCTCCACCTTCACGGAGAAGTGCTCGCTGAGCTGGATGTCCTTGTCGTTCTTGAACCACACCACCTCGGGGTCCGGGTTCCCGAAGACGGTGCAGGTCAGGTTCAGGGTCTTCAGACAGGAAGGCGGAAGGGGAAACAGAAAGGAAAGCTCACAGCACTGAGGGACACAAGCTGTCCCGGAGTTGCTCAACAACCCCTCCTAGCACAGGCACCAAGGGCGCTGGGCGGCGCGGGCATCGTCCCAGGAGCTCGGAGAAGGCGGGTGAAGATCAGTTCTGTACGGCCCAGTTTCCACCCAGCCGGCTTGGGTGAGGAGGCAGTGGGTACACACAACCTGTTTCCGGATCCCCCTTACATTCAGGTTTCCCAACCAGGGGAACCAGAAAACGTTTTGCCTGATCCTGGTCCATGGGACACGGGAAGTGCTCGCTGGACACCTGGCTAAACCCCGTGGGCCTCACTGAGTCAGGTGGCTGCCAATGTGTCCGGGCATCACAGGGCTCTGCTAGGGACGGGCTGAGCATCTTGTGTGCTGGCCTAACATCCTGGCCAGACTCTACGTCCCGGACAGAGCAGGCCCTGAAGCACCAGACGCGCCTCCCGTGACCCCACTCCCAGACCACAAACGCAGCCACTGAAGAGTGGGAGCTGAGGTTTCTCCTTTCATCTGTGAAGGCTGCGACTGCTCACTCTCAAAGCCCCTAGCCTGAGCCCCCACAGATGGGGGTCCCCGGAGCCCTGTGGCCCTGAGGGATGGAGACACCAGGTGCCTGAGTCCCACATCACATCCCCTGATCGCAACACCCTCTAAGGAGTCAGGACACCCAGGCCCTGGAACAGGCTGGGTGGCACTGTAGCCCTGCAGCCCAGCACAGATACTCGGCAACTCCATCCTGTGGTCCCACAGGGTTAGCAAAGGTGGCCCAGGGCAAGCAGCACATGGGTGGAATCCCTGAGTGCCCTCAGGCTAAGCGACACCCAAGCAGTGCTCAGCCCCTTTGCCCAGCCCTGGCGAGGCTGCGGGGCACCCTGCATCACCACCCCATCCCAGCTCCACGTCGCTGTCTGCGCTGCCCACCTTGCCTTCCATGATGGTCACCACGTCGGGTAAGCCCCCAATCACCTTGCCGCGATCTGTGACGGGAGACAGAGGGTGAGCAGCAGCACGGGGCTGTGCCCCTGGGGAGGGCTGCCCCTGGCACCACAGGGTTCCAAGCAGAAATGGGGAGGGGCACTGAGAAAAGACCCATCCACAGAGGAGGGAGAAACCAGGCCAGGGACGCAGGCGAGGAACAGGGGTGCCAGGCAGGGCAGGGCAGGATGTCTGCGGAGTGGGGGTCAGAGCGGCAGCTGGGAGCCCCAGGAGAGAGAGGAGGGGCGGGCGAGGAGGAGGAAGACTGGACCAGAGGGCGGGCGGGCAGGTGGGCGCTGTCCCACACCCAAATCAGTCATAATGGGGGACCCTTCGCGCCCGCAGGCAGCATCCTTCACCCCACAAGCACTTACTCTTCTCTGCAAATGCAGCGGCCCTAGGACAGGGAGGAGAGAGGGAGAAGAAAGACCTCTGAGAGATGCTGCCTGGGACGGAGCTCACGCACCTCGGGGTCGCTGACGGTGCCATGAGAGTGCAGCGACGGACACTCCCTGCTTCTCCTGGGGCCGGTGCCCCCCAGGGCCCAGGACCCCCGGACACCCAAACCTGTGCACACACACGTCATTCGTGTGAGATGCGGGTGCTCACGGAGACTGCAGATGACACCCAGTGCGGTGCCAGCGCTACCTAGACAGTTGTCAGGCTGCACTGCTCAGGGAGAATCACAAGCCTGTTGGTGCCCAGCACCGTGGCTTTTGTCCTCCAATTGTTTACCACAGTTGAATCTGGGGAAGGGAAACATGCGCGTGTGCAGCGCCACCTGCGCACCTTCCCCTAGGCCGTCCACCACCCATTCGGAGCTGGAATGCCATTCTCCAGATGCTGGCCCGTAGAGGTCAGCAGGCAGACATGTAGGTGCAGAAATTTCATTTTTTTTCACCAAATTCACAGGCTAGCACTGCAGGCTTTTGGGGGGTTTTGTCTTGGTTTGGGTTTTTCTTTTCTTTTTGCATTGCCAGGTTTGATTGGTCTACCCATGCACCGCTCCACAAAGGCAGGCTGAATAACCGGAAGCCCAAGGTTGTGCTCAGCTGTGGATGCTCCAAGACTCAAACATGCAATAAGAATTTTCAAACTATAAAATCTACCATGTATGATGTGTGGGCGTGATTTAGTGATTCCAGAAATTTATCATTTTCATCCAAGTAACCGAGGCTCGGGCCACCCTAAGAGCTGCTTTGTGAATGCTCTCAGCTGAGAATGGCAGCCGGGCCCACATGGAGCCACTGTGACTGCCCCTCCAGCCCAGAACGGCACATCCGGGGGGGCCTGTGTTCACAGATGTCTCCCCACGTCGCCAAAATGACTCCGAGCCAACCGAAGCCCATCCCACGTAATAACAACCAACATAGCGCTTACTTGAGCTGCTGGAATTCCGCAAATGCCTCATCAAAAGCTGTAAGGAAACATTTCTTGCATTAGTAACAGTTTTGATGTGCTGAGCTTTCACCCGTCCACTCAGATGTTCAACTGATAACTAACCAAATGAATAAACTGATTTTTCAGAAACAGTTTCCTCTGAACTGGTACCATAAAGTCAGAGGGGTGTTCGCAGCTTCTCTTCTGTGGCCGTCTGAATGGGCTGGGGAACGTGAGCGTCGGGTACGAATGCTCACTTCCTTACCTTGTCCAGAGAAGTCAAGGGAGCGGTGATGGTTGTCTTTGCCGTCGGAAATCTCAAAGGTGTACTTCCCTTTGTCCTTCTCCGTGGGCTCACAGATCTGCAGCCAGGCCATCTCCTCGCTGCCTCCGACCCGCATGTGCTCACTGGAGGAGACCTTCGCTTCTCTTTAAAAAGAAACAGAATGTGCTCCGTCACAGCCTCCCTATGCACGCAGACTCCTGTGGGGCACTGCCCAGGTTTGGTGGGAGCCCTGGCTATCACAGATCCCTAAATGCATCAGAAGCTCAGACCTGAAACCTCTGAAAACCAATACTTTTGGAGATATATCGTTATTTAATATACATTAGTCACAACGTAATAGACTTCAAAATACTCCATAAGGTGTTTGGTGAAAATTCGGCTTCTAACACACTTAAAATGGAACGATGATGCCATCCAGCAACTGTCCTTCTGGGCAGATTCTGGGCAGAGTTGAAAGCTGTGAGTGGAAGAGACTCTCATGCCCACGTGCAGGCAGGTGTGCAGCCAGGAGCCCACAGAGGGTGCACGGGGAGGGTGCAGGGCCAGAAGGGAGGAAGCCTGAGCCCTGGGCAGCAGAAGCAGATTCCCAGGAATACGCTGCGCACCGAGAACAAACACTGCACCATCCCACGTAGATGAGGCCGCCAGAGGAGTCAAGTTCGGAGGCAGAAAGTAGAGTGGAGGGGGCCAGGTTGGAGAGGGAGATGGGAAGTTAGCGAGCTTTTCTCTTTTTTGCAGTACTGGGAATTCCACCCAGGGCCTTGCACATGCTAGGACAGTGCTCTTCCACTGAGCTACATCCGTGGCCCTATTTATTTATTTGTTTATTTTTTGAGATAAGGTGTCACTAAGTTGCCGAGAATGGCCTGGAACTCAGGATCTGTCTCCCCACTCCATCCTTGCCCCAGGCCGCGTGGGACCTGCTGTGCACTGCAGGTCTGTTGGAGACAGAGACCAACAGACAGCGAGGCTCGAGGTCCTCCAGGGAGTGCAGCTGCAAGCAGCAGAAACCTTGAGCTCTTAGAGAGCAGCCTCCGCCTTCCCAGCCACGCTGTAACAGCCCTGTCTGCAGTGACACACGCCAGCCCCGAGGGCACCTCACAAGTGCACCAAGCGCTGGGCCGACACCCTGTTGACACTTGGCCCCTCCTCCTGGCCGTGTGCAGCACTTGGACACTGGTCCAGGAACTCGGTCCTCAGAGCGACCAAGGACGGGTCTGCTTTGATGGTGGATCCAGGAGACCAGGGAGCAGCCACACAGCCAGGCAGGCGCTCGAGGGACAGCTCCAGATGGTGCAGGCGCAGCCAGGCCCCCAGCTCAGCTGCAGCTAAGCCGCTGGCCGTCGCTCCACTGTGACTGGGAGAGCCAAGGGTCCCTCCGGGCAGCCGCTCGGCTCGGGAGGATCCGCGCCCATGCCGCATCAACGCAGGACAGCAAAGGACCGACACCGTGGTGTGGAGGCGGGGCCACAAACCCAGGTCACCCCTGGACTACGTGGGGACAGCGACGCCCCACACTCTGAGTCCCAGCTCCTCCGGCCGGCCCCGGCTGCGAGGTGCAAAGACGTGAGCAGCAGGCAGCGGGGCCCCACAGCCCAGGCCAGCCTCCGCCCACAGCCTCAGCTCCGCTCTGGACAGACACCGCGGCCGCGCCTCCGCAGCCCAGGGCCAGCCTGTGGACCAGCACGGCCCGGACCAGTCCCCTCTGCACGCACCAGCAGGGGCCCAGCTTCACCCGTGGTCGCCCCCTCTGGAACGGGCTCTGGCCCTGGCCTCCCCTTCATACTGTCGGATAAATGTCCAAGAGTCCATGCTGAGTAACTGAGCAGCTGGGGAAGCCGGCCCCCGGAGAGGAGGGGTCACTTCCTCGGCAGGGCGCCCCCTGCTGGACATCATGGGAAGTGGCCGTCACACAGAGGACTGCAGTCTGGGGAGACTCCAGGTCCGGCGCAGGGATCTGGCCAGAATCCCGGGCCAGGAGGCTTGCGCGGTCGTCAAGCGTGACCTTGGACACGTTTGCTGAGACAGGAAGAGCGGTGACCTCGCAGGGAGACGCCGGATGGGCGCCACCTTCACCTGGGCTCGTCAGTTCACTTCCTAAAACCCGTGGCCTCCCTCTGAAGGCCGAGGGCTCCCAGGCCCAGGCGGCAGCTCCAGCCTCCTGGAGGCTCCGGGACAGAGGCTTCGGGGTGTGGGTCCCAGGCAGACCTGTGCTGAAGCAGCAGTGGTCCTGAGAGTGAAGCGCACGTGGTTCCTCCTTAAAGACACCGACGTTGCTGCCCTGGCGGGGTCTCCAGAGCCGAAAGTGGTCGATACTTCAGCAATGGGGGTCCAGCCACGTGGGCATGACAGACTAATTTCACCTTTGAGCACGACGGCAGGACCCTTTCTCTGCAGGACGTTTCTGATGAGCCCCTCTCCGCCAGAGCCTAACTGGTGCGGAGTGGATTCTAAGCCTGTCCAGTAAGTGGCATTTCCCACATCCACGCCTTGATCTGTGTCACCTGGCATTCCAGCCAAAGAACAAGGCCCTCACTCACGGCTGCATTTCCCACAGTGCCCTGTGAGCTGTGGACTCCAAGTCCCCGGACATGGAGCGCCCTGGTGTCTGCAGCAGGGAGCCCAGCAGCGTTCTCCCCTCATCACAAGCCCCGCACACCATGCCAGAGGCCCTCACACCCTTCCCAGGCTCCCTGAAGCCTTGAGGCCTTGTTCTCAGTCAGAGGCAGGAAGACGGCCACGCTGTGCTCAGTGACAAGCGTGACCACGCTGTTCAGAGCTATTTAGTGTACGGCTCATGCTGTTTCACAGGCACATGCACCTAACAGCTCAGGAAACAATCTGAGGTCAAAGATTACATTTTGGTTATAAAAGTGCTAAGGCAATGCTAATTTTGGGAGGAGCAAACAAATACCACTCCCGGGAGTGCAAATCTGCAGGGTCCTTTCACCTGACCCCACCCGCGCCCGGCCGGTCTCTGTCCGTCCATCTGCCTGTGAGACATCTGCTGGCCGGGAAGTTCACTCCCTCCCAGGAGAGCATGGATTGAGTGGACGCGCTGGCGCCCAGCTCCTGCTCCTCTGTGTAACTCTGCGCACAGCTAGTGCCTCTTGCTCAAAGCCTCAGTCCCACGCCCTTAGAGAGGGTGCCAACGCTGGAGCCCCAGAGAGTCCCCAAGGGCTGCTGCAGAAGACGTGTGATAAAGTCGCATGCCCAGGGCCTGTGCGCTAGTGCTGACACACACACAGCAACACACAGGCAGGTGTGCACGCAGGTGTGCGCAGGCGTGTGATCTCCTCCCAGACCCAGCACAGAGCAGAGGCAGGGCACCCTCTCCCGGCATGGCCACATGGACAGCAGAGCACGTGTGGGACATGCACCACAAGCTTACATGAGACATGCATAAGCGCATCAGGCCCAGCACACCCTGATATCCCATGCTCCTAAGCACACGTCACGATACACGCAGAGTGTCAGAGGTCAGTGGAAACCAGGCAGAGAGCACACATCCTGTCAGAACCACAATTTGCTCACACTGTTTAAAACCGAGAGTGCTTCCCTTTCAAAATACGGGTCAATGGGACAGCCGAAGACAGGGCAGGACACTGAGGGGCAGACAGCACTGGAAAACTGGCCTCAGGATGCTGCCTGGGCCGGGTTAGAGACGGGACAGAGGGACAAGGGCAGGTCCCTGCCCCACAGCCCAGCTCAGGCCGTGCCAGGCCGGACTCCGCCTCAGGGGCCACTTGGCTCAGCTGTCCCTGGTGACAGCGTGCAGCACACATCCAGAGGGCCAGACCCCAGGGCAGCTGGGCCAGCTGTGACTCACGGACCGACTCTCCATGCAGCCACCACCACCCCCAGTCAGAGGCACTGCAGTCACTCAGACTGCAGATTCCCAGGAACAGACAGAGCCAAGACGGCAACTGTGCTACTCACTTGTGATACCAGGTGACTTTCATCTCCTCCGTGAAGTACTTCATGAAACACTGGAGCCGGATCCCTTCCGGGGTGCAGAGGATCTTCAGGGGAGAGGCAGAGACTCCTGCAGACGGTGAAGAGAAGACCTCAGAGAAGCAGAATGCACATGCCTGGAGGGGTGTCCACCAGCGCCACATCCCCCTCATGCATGGTGGAGTCAGACCCAGGCTGTCCCCGACTCCCGAGCCACAACTATTCATGACATAAGCGTTTGCTGCTCCAGAATGACTTGAAAAGCCCTCTGCAGAGTACTGTCAGAGACAGAGAACTTTTGAAAAGAATCAACATCTGTCCCTTAAAAGCTTGGCTTAAGAGGAAGAGGCAAAATGTGTTAATACCAGTGTAGCATCACAAATCCCTGTTAACTGATTTGGATCTCAGAGTTGTAGGAATCAGGACAAAGGAGGTTGTGGTTAGCAGAGTGATCCAGAAGGGTCGGGAGAGGCTGGGCCAGGGCTAGTCCTTCAGGACGAGGCGATCTCGGAAGGACGGAGGGGCAGAGGGGCACAGGCCCTGGGAAAGCCTGAGGATGCAGCTCTCCCAGAACCAACTTGAGGCTGCTGGGGTGGGAGGCCAGAGGTGGGGGGAGGTGGTGTGCTCGGCTGCAGCATGAGCAGAGCTCTGCCCTGATGTGTGGCCCTGAGACCCTGGCCTGGGCACTGCAAGCAAGCAGTCACCGAGACAGAGGGAGTAACAGCTCAACTGTGCGCACCCGGATGTGCAGAGAGACATTTTTCTAACACTTCCTTAAGACAGGTGAGCAGTGAAAACCTAGATCACGAAACTTTAAAATGTAGTGTTCTCCACAGTATTCCTGGGAATTCCCTCAAAGGAAACATTCCTAAATATTGGGAAAAGCTTTTCCTCAACCAAAGATGTACCTTGTGCAGTTATTTATAATGATGAAAATTGTTAATGGCTCTTCAGGGAAGAGTTTAAATCCATGAAGAACATGCAGTATTAGAGATAATGGGTATACATCTACATGAAACAAAGAAAAATATTATAAAACATGTTGGGGGAGTAAAACAAGAAACAGACTGCGTTTATGACCCTGGCTATGTACAGAATGGTCACTAAGTCAGAAGGCATGGCTGTGTTGCTGCTGCCTGGACTCTGAGAGAGTCGCGGTATCGGGACGGGTTCTGAGCCTGATCTCTGCACGCCTCTGAGTCCGAGGGCCCATGTCCAACCCAGGGCTGAGCGAGCCGGCCTTCCTGTGATTCTCGTCTGTAGGTCACCATGGAGATACTACCAGCGTGACCCTGGAGCACGTGTGATGTGCAGTGCACGCCCACTGCCCCTCCAGTGTGAGAGCAGGCCTGCTTTCTCAGGGCTCTGCTCACCCTCCCCGAGTGCCCATCCCCTGTGAGGCAGGAGTCAGCCCACCGGAGCACAGCTGACAGAAACCCAAGTCTTTGTTGGACCAAGCAGAAGCAGGAAGGGCTGCGGACGGAGACATTTTGAGAAAGCAGTGAGAAGCAAACAGACAGCAACAGTCACAGGAGCGGCCCAAGGGACTCTGCATCTGGGGGTCCCGACTGCTGCAGGTCGGCGCCACAGTTCAGCACGACCACCTGGCTCTCCTGTCCTAGCCTCTCCCTTGGATTATGGAAACCAGGCATCACTAGAGGGCCTGCAGCAACAGCCATACTTGTCCCTTACAGCACTGCACGGGTATAAGCTGCTGTTACCAAGTAATAGCCAATCTCTCTGCTCACACAATTTCCGAGGGAGAGCAAATGGAGAGGCAAGGTATTTGCAGAGCTAAAATGGTTTTGTGCATACGATGCAAAGCTCGAGTTTTAAAAACTCGTTATCACTATTTAACTTGTGGAACAAAGATGCTGCTAAGGATTTTGGCTAAAGTGATCGTCCAGATTAACCAAAGGCAAATCGGAAGCAGTGGTCAGTGCGGAAGTTGGGGCCAGGTTCACACAGACCCAGACTCTGAGCCCCCAGGCGGCCCCTGCCCTCCCTCCAGGGCAGGCACCAGACACACTGCACGCCTGTGAGGTTCCTCCTGCGAGCAGCGGTGCCACCTCAGCAGGAGAGAGCAGCACCCAGATGACCCAGGAAGTGGGCACTGACTTACCGCAGACTCGACTCATGGCCAAGATCATGTCCTCGTACACTGCGGGGGGAAGGGAAATGTGCCGTTAGACGCTTCATTTACCGGGGAGCAGCATCCTCTGAGTGATTACATCCACACAGGAAGTCAGGACGTGCGTGTGAAATGAGACGCTGGAATGGTCACGTTACGTGTGGAAGCCCAAGTGTGCAGCAATTGCTTCTCACCACACACTGAGTCAAATCCCACCACCAGTGCTCCACGGTTCCAACCCTGTTAGGGACGGGATGGAGCCTGGCTGCTCACGACACTGAAATGACCTTGCACCTGTACCTGAGCGGCGGACACCACTCGATTCTCTACAGCACGGAAACAGCTCTGAGCGCAGCTCAGGCACAGCGTGTCTCCTCTAGGATGCACAGCAACGGAAACCGTGTGCGGGACAGCAGGGCTGAGTGGGTGTGCCCTCGGAGCCCTGCTCATCCAGGGCAGGGTGCACAGAGCGGCTTTCCCTACCTTTGCCGGCTATCTCAAGGACAGACACATCTTGACCTCTGTCGTCCTTCAAGGTCGCCTTGTACTCGCCATGGTCCCTCTTGGACAACTACAAAGGAAGTGCATTCCACACTCATGTGAGTGGCACCGGTACTGTGGCACTAAGGCCATCAGCGCTAGTATACGCTTTCCTTGCAAACCAAGGAGATTCGAGGGCAGACCGGAAAGCAGTGCAGACAGTGAGTGACTTCACCGTGCTCTACCGCACACACACGGTACCTTGGGTATGAGCAGCTCACAGACACCCTTCTCCAGGTCAGGCAGCTTCTCTGTCTCATACAGAACGTCATCCTTGAGCCACTTGAAAACCGTTTCCTTCTTGGTGTTCGCAACCTACAAACAGAAGTCTGAAATGTGACTCACTTGGCCCATGAAAAACACCCTTTTAGATTTTAAATCACAGACCTAAAAATGAAAAAATGATCGATTTTTACTCTCAGCAGTCTCAGACTGAGGCTTGGGGAAAGCTGCCACGTCTGCTGATGGCAAATACATCTTAGAAGACAGCTTTCAAAGTAATGCAGCTCCTGGGCTTGTGCCCTGTGGACGAATGGAATGAGTCTCGTCGTCCTGGTCCTTGAAATTAGACAGCATAAAGGTCTCCAGGTCATGTGAAATGCCACAACTCGGACAAGTTGCAAGCTCTGCACTTTTCGTCTCTGAACACTGCAGCCTGTCCTGAGAGGCAGGGCAGCATCCATCCTGGGGCGGGCAAGAAACGCCGGAAAGGACAGTGCCTTCACCTCAGGCCCTCACAGGCATGAGCCTGACACCGCCACTGAGCTCTGCAGGGCTCCATGCCCAGGGGCCCCGGCTCAGGCTGCCCTGTGGCCGGGGGAGGAGAAGGTGGCCCGGGCTGTGCTCCGTCCAGGTCCCTCCAGGTCCCCCGAGCTGGTCAGTCCTGCCCTCCCGCCCCCCGGACCTCACAGCATGACGTCAGTGGTGGAAATCGTAAAGCATCAGACAGTGGCGGCCACCTGGTGTGACTGAGTGCGCTGCTGTGAACGGTGTCACGGGAACGAGACCCCTGCCTGGCACGGGGCCTGCCATCCTCCCCACCCTCGCCCAAGTCTGGCCCAGAGAGGCCACCTGGCCTGGCGTCTGAGGACCTGTGTGTGGGGCCTCCCTCCACCTCAAGGGTCTCGGTCCGGGGAAGGGGCTGCCTGGGCCTGCTGCCACATCCTCCAGCCCAGCATGGCCTCTCCGTCCACGTCCAGCCCTCACTCCTTCACTCCGTCCTCAGAGACCAGTGCTGGTCCTGTGGGACAGATAAGCCCTTCCGGGCCCTGAGCCTCTGCTCTCTAAGCCAGCCCTAGTTATTGATTAGCGCTTAGGTGGCTCTTTCACCTGACCACCCGGAAGACAGCCAGGGAGCTCCTCAGAACCCCCTGCCACAGTCAGCGCCTCCAGGCACCCAGCATCCTGCGTGGCTTCCTAGTCTGGTGACTGAGGTTTCTCTTAAACTGCTCTTTTTAACCAGTGACTTCCTGTGGAGCACAGGTTATGCCCGCATGCACCATCCTCCTGGACTTTGTCAGGTGCGTGCACTTTCAGATGAGTCCTCTTAGTGCCATCCAGAGGCGTGACCTACAGAGCTGCAGGGCAGACAGGGACACGAGAATGCCACTTAGACCACACACTACTCCGACTCAAGCAATATCCACCGGGCTTCCACACAGGCCTGTGCTTACAGATGCGTAGGTCTCTTCACCCAGGACACATGAGGCATTTAACTATTCCTAGAAGAGGCTTTGCAGGAGGAGAGCTGTGCCCGGCCAGGGCGTGCTGGGGCCCAGAGGGAGCAGGACCCCTGTCTTGCCCCTCAGCCCACGCCTGTCCCTGTGTGTCCTGTGCCATCCACAGAGAGGCGGCCAGTGTGAGGGGAGGGGTCCGGTGCTGGGCTCTGAGCTGCCACTGCGGCCAAGCTGGCTTTTCGGTCTCGACCCTGGAGGGTGCGCCCCATCCTCGCATGCAGCCATCTGAGAAGACGGCTGTGTGCAGCACCAGCAGGTGAGGGAAACTGCCCGCTCGTCCTCCAGAGCCCTCCCCTTCAGTGTCTGGGATGATGTGCGTTTGCTGAGCGGGTAAGCTCAGTTTGTTAGTCAACTCTGTAAATCTTTCTGCCTCTGAGTCTTCTTGAGTCTACTGACGCATGAATCTCACTACCAAAAACAAACCTAAGTACCTTTATAAAAAACTGTGAGCATATGAAATATCAAAGCTCCAGAGCTAGTTTTCAATAAAAAGAGACATAAACAAATCACTGTGGCTTCATCACCAATACTACGAATGGGAAGGAAAATGGTGAGAAGGGTTAGTTTCATCCCACAGATTTCAGGGAGCCCTGGGCCCTGCCTGGGGTGTCCAGCATCTCCCAGGCCCAGCGTCCCCTCCTCGGAGCCCCTCTGGGACCCCAGGCCCAGCTCTGCCCCTAGGTCTGGCCCCCACCTGTTCTGCCAGCCTCGAATTTTCCACGGGGTAAAATACACACCAGATTTACCCTCGGGCCACATTTTTACCTCTGTTCTCCGTCACTCTGCTTGCCCGGGTCCGGGTGTACCCTGCGTGACTCTCCCCATTAACTTTCTCTCTCCTCTACCCAGAACTCGAGTAGGTAGAGGACAAAACTGGTGCATTCTTGATCTTTTGTCCTCCAGATCCTTATTAAAATTGGTGACAGTCACAGAGCAAGTGCTCAATACATTAAGTGTTGTTAGAAATACAACTCAGCAATAATCGAAGCCTGTTTATTACTGAATTATTGGAACAGAATTTGAGAAGTACGTTGGTCCTAACACATGATGCAGTCATGTGATCAGTGACGGACCGGTTCCCGCCACTGTGCTGGCTCACAGACAAGCAAGCGCCTCTCTAGACACCCCCAGTCTCTTTGCAGGTCCGCCCACGCCTGTCGCTCTGTGACAGGACCTAACCAGCTACTCCCTGACCAGCCCCCCATCTGGGACAAGAACGGGGTCTGTGTGTCCCTCACCTTACAAACAAGGCGCACTTCGCACTCTTCGGTGACGTCCCAGTGCAAATACTCCGAAAAGTGAGGGCCTACAGGAAAAACGGGGAGGGCATGAAAGGGGCAGAAGTCACGTGAACAGACAGACGTCCATGACACAGATGTGACCTAGGCATGCACGTGTGGAGAGACATTTACATGTCCTGTACAAAGCATGCAGTTTGGGCTGTGTGGTTGTAGAGCCCAGGAGCTTCTGTGGTCTGGGTCACGGTGTGTGGGCCCCGGCACCCCAGGGGAGCCTGCTTCTCCTAGTGGCAACTTCAGCCCACTCTCCTTCTTGCTAGCATGGAATATCTACTGCTCTTCAGAAAGAATACTGAAACCACTGTTTTCTTTCTCAGGCACATATCTAAATGGACACTCAGCCGCACAGTATACAAAACCTTTAGTGCAAGAAAATTAATAGAGCTGGGGGGATTGCCACATCCTAGGAGGCTGAGGCAAGAGGATCTCACTTTCAAGCCCAGCCTGGAAAATTCAGTGACTTAGCAAGACCCTGTCTCATGATTTTTTAAAAATTTAAAAAGAACTGGAGATCTAGCTCAGTGTAAAGGCTCAGTGTGAAGGCCCAGTGTGAAGGCTCAGTGTGAAGGCCCAGTGTGAAGGCCCAGTGTGAAGGCTCAGTGTGAAGGCCCAGTGTGAAGG